CATATAATTTGAAACGGGTTTAACACAACTCAAATAATCTCCTCGTATTTCAATAAATCTATATTGATTGCTTAAAATGCAGCCGGGTAGGCACAACCACTAATTGTAGGTCAAACAGTTTGCATTTTTCAGCAAGTTAATTAACATCAATATAATCATTGTTTGTTGTGTCAAAATAATACCAAAAGCATATGTAACACAACTCCCTCTATTACATATCAACTTAAGCACCTTTGTCACATTGTAGACAGGACCGCTTGGATAATACCATTATAGCATTTGTCACACTCAGTGTTGCTGTTTTCTTTGTAGTAAACAATCTTCATTTAATTGTAACATTCCTAATCACATTCACGATATGTTCCAAGTGAATATTGTAAATCACTTTAAAAGCAATCGCCTGTATATCATTTGCAATTTATTGGATTCCATTAAATTGTGTTTTGTTTTCATCATTTTGTGCTTTTTTCAATTTGAACATTTTAAAATAATTAGGAAGAAATTATGGAAATACACAGTGGATATATTAACAGACTATGTGTTGTTGCATATGCGTTATTCTTCAACTAGAGCACATTTATGTAGTTTTTCAATATGAATATAGTAAAACTGCAATGGATATATCTTACTATTTTGCACGACCAAAAAGAAGATAATACCTATCGAAACACAGCACCAAACAGTTTGAAAGTAAAACACATCTTTTATTATTTTTTGATGCGTGATTTGGCTTTTATGAAAACCAGTTAAAATATACAACATAGAATCATTCTATATGTTGTCCCTCAGTTTTTAGATATTAATAACTGGAATATATCGGGAAATTTTTCGAAACGCCAGAAAAACATTGTTTCAGTTTTTTTACCGTTTTTATGATTTATTACCTTATTTCCAATTTTTTTAAAGATTTTTTTGCGTTTATTTTTGCAAAAGGGACGATGTTTGAGGAAAGAACAACGTTTAGAGAATGACTCTAATTGTTTTTTCCTTGTGAGTGTTAAAGGAAAAATATATAAAATTGAATAACTGTAATTTGTAAAAACAAATAAATTTTATTTATATTTATTTTTATCATAAATCAAAAAAAAATGTTTTTTTCCATAACAATAAAATAACATAAAAGTGTTCATTAAAAATCAAAAAAATATCTGAAAGGAAATCATTAACATGAAAAATAAATAACAATGAAATTTTATAAATATAAATTTATAAATATAAAAAATGTTCAAAATGAAAAATATAACAAAGGATATAAACATACAATATTATGGTTTGGTACAAAATAAGTGTTTATAAACTAAAAAACAGTTTATTTGATGCTATTTAACTTAATTGTGAAATATTAAATATATATTTACACAAAAAGTATAAACTAAATTGGATTGGACATGCAGTCGACCAGCTGCTGTACAATTCAAAATGGTATTTTTATTGCCAATTATGTATTATATTGGAGTCTTATATATCAAAATATTTCATTCAAATATTTTGGTATTAACATTTTAGACAACGAAACTCAATTCTTTTTTCAAGTGCTGACTTGTTAAATATTTATTTAGGATACACTTTTTTTAACAACATTTACTATATTTGGTTTGTTATCAACGATGATGTATTATATTGAAATTTCAAAGTTTTTAAAATGTCCATTTAATACAATTTTCAATTGAGCATAATATGAGGCTTTATTAATGGATAAAGCTAGAAATTTTATATGTACAATAACGCTAAGTCTAATATACAACTGTTAATCTTGTATTTGACAACGCATTCTTATTACAACCGCTTAAAACTGAAAAAAATACAAAGTGATTGTGGAAATGGGTTGTTTGGACTGATTTCAAATTCTAAACGCTGTATTGATATTAAATATTATTATTCAGTTGACAATACATGTTGTGATGAATGTGTTGATTTATCTTATATTTAGTGAACCAACATCAACAATAATGACCAAGTGGATTTATCAAAAGCCAAATAACATGTGAAAAGTTTAAAAATATTTATGAAAATATATGAATCTATGAATAGCGAAGAATATACATTGTTTATTACATCACGCTGCTACTCTGATTAACATGTAAATTGCTTGATGATGTTCACGTGTTAATTGTCGTTATTTTTGGTTCTTTTGTTTGTTTAAAACGTTTTTAATAAAAATGTTATCTGTGTGCTAATAACAATTTTTAGTAAATTTTCAATTATTGAAAAAATAACCACAAAATATAAATAAAATATTATTTATTTTTAACATCAAAACAAACATAATTATAAAATATTAAATATTCCAATTTCATTTATTTTTTTTATTTTCCTTTAAAATCATTTTTCTGAGCAAGAGGTGGTATTTTTAGAATAATTTCAACTCTGTTTTTGATATAGAAATGTTTGCATTTTCAATTTCAATAACATGTATGTATTTACTGGTTAGTGTGACAACAATAAACGTAAAGAAATTATTAATACTGAAGTAAAATATATAAAAATTATAAATTGGAAAATGTATAATTAATTTTAAAGTACGAGTGAAACCTTTAATATTGGTTGGCAAAAAGTGCCTTTTGAAAAGATACGACTGGTTTTAAGCTTATTATTTCATTAATGTTTTGATATATGGGGAAGACCATGCCAATATAGACAATGTCTGAAAATTTATGATTGTTTATTATTCAGAAGACTTTAAAAAAGCCTTAAAATATTCTTTTTATTCTTTTACATAATACAAAAATGTCCGTATTGTGTAAAAGAAATAACAGAACATTCAAATATGTTAAATTGTAAAGATAAATGTCAAACGGGTTGTTGATATAGATGATTATGATAAATCATAAACCCCCCATTGTCGATTATGTGGATTTCGTCCTTTTAATGATGGATTACACAGAAGGTATTGTCAAGAATAAAACTTGTTATCAAATAGAGTAATTAGTTTAATTAAAATGGTAAGCGTGAAGCGTAATTGTAAGTTTTTTATATTTACCAAGTATATTACAATAAAAAAATTAATTTTAAATAAAATAGCTGTTTATATGTTCTGATAAGATTTTTTTTTCAAATAAACAAGTTTTATGAAACATAGTTTTTACAATGTAGCTTCTTTATGAAACAGACAAATAAATGAATCGTAAATGTGAAAACACTAAACAACTTAAATAACATTGAATTTATTCCAAGTGTCTTACAAAATAAACAATTTCGATTTTATAAGATTATTAAACATGTTTTTTAAAAATTAATTTTAAAAAATAAAAAATACCGGTCTTTTTAACTGCTGCACATCGTTTTAATAGTTATTATTAATGAAATTAGAACAAAAAGTGTATTACAAATAACCACCTTTGACGAAAAAGGGTTCTGAGTGGCATTTTTAGACCTTGTGGTAAACAGTACCATACTGTATATTATTATATTAATATCATTTGAAACTTTTAAATTAAGCGGTTAAAAAGCGAAAGAGTTTTTTGTTCCCTGTATGTGCAACACTTTAGACAAGTAAAACAATAATAACATAAAAAAATTATTTCATATTACAATAAAAACAGGTCAATTAAGAAACTTAAATGTTATTGACGATTAATACACCAAATTAATTATTTTTAGCTTTATTATATTCTACATCAAGTTGTTTCACGATTTTATCGGCCGAGCTTCTGTTTTCAGGTAGTTGTTCCCACGCACCACTAACAACATCAAAAACTTCTTCGCTCACACAGGAAGGTTTTCCTTGTCGTTTTCCAGACATCACATAATCGACGATGTCCCATGGATATCTAAAATCCTCTTTACTGTACGACTCACACCACGCCAAGCACTCATACATAGTCACACCAAATGAAAATATGTCTGCACTCTTTTTGTACTTCTCCTTATTTAAAATTTCAGGCGCCATATATTTAGGTGTGCCAACGCCTTTTGTGAATGTCATATTTGTCATTAATAAATTGATGTTTCTACTTGACCCAAAATCAGTCAATTTTGCATTCACTCTCTCGTTAACGTCCATTGAAAACACTAAGATGTTATCCGGCTTGATGTCTCTATGCAAAATGCCGTTTTCGTGAAGATAAAAAACACCCTTTGCCGCATCAAGTAAAAATTTAATTCGAAGTTTTTCAGTCACACAATTTTCATTTATATTTTCATTTTTCGTGTTATCATTTAAGTCAATCGTCTCGTGTTCTTTCATTTTCTTTTCTTGATTTATAACGGACGTTTTCTGATAATGATTTTTATTTTCAATTTGTTTGTTCTCGTCGTTTAAAACTAAATTCTTTTCATTATCAAATGTCGCACCTTTTCTCTCGTCTTCTTCAAGTCTTTCAATTTCATTTTGTATTTCATCTTCGCAGTATTTGATTGATTTTTTCTCATTGTTTATAACGGACGTTTTTGTGTAATGATTTTTATTTGAAGTTTTGGGCAACTTTTTGATTAAGTCTTGTAAAGACCCAAAAGCTGCAAATTCGGTGACCATACACACTTTATTTGGGATGAGCACAGCGCCGTAGAAATGGACGATAAAGTCACTTCGAAATTTGTCCAACATATTCACTTCATTTTCAAACTCTTTTTAAGTGTTGTTGTGTAAATTTTCTTTCATCTTTTTGATGGCGACGATATTTCCTCTAAAAGACCCTTTGTATACAATTCCAAAAGAGCCATGACCAATCTCCTTCTCTTCAATTAACTCGTCGAAATCCAATCGTGTCGTCATTTTGGTTTGTGCACTGATTTTCAACGGGAATTGGAAGTTCTCTCCTTTCTTCATATCAACAGCAAATAATGTGATTTCATCGTCAATGTTAGTAGAGCATAATGGCATTATAAAGACTTCAAATTCAACGGCTTTTCCTTTTGGAATTGCAATGACTTGTGGTTCTGAACGTATTTGATATTTCACATTTGAAGTTTTAAACGTGAATTGGACTTTGATGGTGTGATGTGAGGTGTTTCCAACACAAATTAACTCACGACTTTCACAATCAACATCTATCAAGGTATCATTTTCACTTTCAAAAACTATTTCAGTTTTGTTGACTGAAATAAACGAATTTTGGAGTTTCACAAAATTGATGTTTGAGGAGTTCATCGAGAAGAGACACGTCTTTTTTTGTAAGTCATGCACCTTTCTCTTCTCTAATATGTAATACACTGTATATAATATAAGTAAAGTTATGATCACAAACAGAATAAGAAGCAATATGACGATAATCAGAATTATCCACCACACGGCATGCTTATCACACGACGTTTGTGTAACACCAGTCTCATACCAAAAATCACATTTGACGCATTTTGAACTTTTCACCTCAACACAATGTTTTACTTCTTCCATTGATAAACATTTGTTGTTCAATAAAATGTATTTTGATGAACAAGATGTGCATATACCCATAATGTCACATTTCTCACAAAAAGTTGTGAGTGTGTCACATTTATTACAAAATTGGTTGGACACATAAAAACCGTCAACACATTTTTGACATCCAAATTTGCTTTTAACTTCACAATTTTCAAGTTCATCGAATTGAATGCATTGTGTTGAATTTGTGAGTAAAAATGTGTTTTCATTGCAAGTAATGCATGTCGACTTTTGGTTACAAAATAAACAGTTATCAATACACTTTTCACACTCTCCTTTGTCATTTCTGAAAAACGAATTTTCACATAGAGCACACTTTGAGGAGCCTTCAATCACTATCTTGCAATGTGTCTCATTATTGGAAGTGATAAAACAACTGCCGTTTTGAAGAGAATACAACGAGGAACATATCAAACAAACATCTTGAGACGCACAGTAAACACAATTTGAAGTACATTTTTCACATGTTAAATTTGAGAGATAATAATTACTTTCACAAAGAATACAACGGTCTTGTTCAGAATTAAAAATTGAACAATGGATATCTTTAAATTCGTTTGATTTGCATGTTGAATCTTCTGATATAACATATGTATTTTCACATGTCACACATTTCCCGTTTTTGTTTGAAATATCACAATTAATGGAATATACACAAACTCCATTCTTATCAATAAATTTGTTTGTTGAGTTACAAGCAGTGCAATATACATTGTCGTTTGAAGTACATCCAGTCGTAGTCTCATTTTCACATAAATTATTTTTGGTATAAACACTATCTTCACACTTCTCACAATTCGTTGGTGTGCATTTTTCACATGACTCTCCATACTTGTTTTTACACTGTTCACATCGTAAATTCTCAACGTTGTAATAAAACCCTTGTGAACACAAAACTATGTTGGTGTTGTCTGTTAAAAATGCATTTGATTGTAATTCACACTTTTTGTTTTGTAAAATATATTTATTCTTACATATTGTACAAATGCTTTCATCAACACATGCCAGACAATTTGAGTCGCATTTTACACACTCTGCATATCTAGAGTAATACCCTTCTTCGCATTTCATAATTAAATTATGTTTGGCTAAAATGGTGTTATTTGGTGATTCGCAAATGTCTACTCCATTTTGTTGAACCAACAAATAGCCTGTATCACATAAAACACACCCTTCCTTCACACATTTTAAACACCCATTTGAACATTCAAAACACTTGTTTTTGTAAAAATAATACGAATCAGGACACGATTCACAAACCTTTGTTGTGACATTTGTTTGCGTTGTTGATAACATGCAATTATTATCATAATTTTTGCATTGATTATCAAGTAAATACGAATTTTTACAGTATTTACATGATATATCTGTTTTGTCAATAAATAAAGCAGTGCAGTTTTGCTTATCATTAAACACAACATCATTCATTTGCGTTGTAATGTTATTAGTACCTTTAAGCCCATATTTTTCCCCAACAAGAAGTTTAAATTTTTTGTTAGAGACTGATATGTTATTGTTATTAATTGATTCGTTTGTAATATAAATGACATTTGCAGTGTTTGAATCTTTAAAATTTGTATTATATTCATTGATCTTTGTAAATTTAAGTGTTTTAACATTTTGATTGAAAGTACCATTAAATCCAATGTTTTGAATCACTTCATTTGTTTCTATATAAATAGTTG